CATACAGATGATTTTATGAGGTGTCGATTGCTGGGCTGCCAACTGGACCAGACGTCAGCAGAGAGAGGGAAGCACGGGGCCGTCGGGGTCCAGGCTACCATCACCGGGTCCCTGCTGGCTCCCTGCCCCTGTCTGCCGGGGTTCCCGGACCAGCCCCGGAGCAGACGGCTCGGTTCTGCTGCACTGTAGTCGACCAAAATCCCAGACGATTTTGAAATTCCCCCCCGGACTTTTTTTAGGTATGAAAAGAAGGACATCTCCGGGAAAAGAAGGACGTCTGGTCACCCTACCATATAAACAATTTCAATGTTTAAGTGAGTAAGTGCTTGTTGCTATGATGCGTCTTTGCTCAGCTGCTTTGCGCATTGTAAACTAACCAATCAGCGAACAGCTCATGTAAATATTCATGAGCATACCATAAAAGGAAGAAAACCTGTCGTTTCATTCTGGGACTCTTAACCAGGCTGCATTAGGGCTCATAGAACAGCAAATATGCCATTTTTAGCCCAATCAATGTTACACACCCTATTCAGAGACCTTAAGGACCAGCACCAAATACCCTATATAATAATTCTATGACCCCTTTAAAACTAACAGCCCTATTAGTTTATGTAGAGGTATCTGTGGCTAAGTTCACACTGCAGGCTTTGATGCTCAATTCCGCATTTTTGGGTAATTTGATTCTTTTGCATGGCTTTTCACATTTGATCTCTAGTGTGAACTGCATTTGTACATCTCAATGACGTCACAAGTGAGTGTGCTTTGTGTTTACATAAGTAAACATGGCTGGTAGTGTTGGAGCTGGAGCATCTTGCCATCTTTCATTTCTTTAACAACCTCAGCCTGCATTAACAACAGGATGTTTTCAAGAGGGTTGAAAATAAAGACTGCTCTCCGCATTATCATCCTCCATGGTTTTTGTTTATCTTACTGCTTCTGCTTCTTGCTACCATTGCAAGATGCAGAATAGTGACCTCTGCTGAGTATTAATGGGTTTAGGTTGGATGGATGCAACTGGCCGTTTAGACACAGGTCGCATTTCATAAGATCAAATTCGCATCGGATTCAGGACCACCTAGCCAAGTGGCCTGGGTGGCAATGGAAAAAATCGGATCTGTGTTGTTCAGATTGCCATGAAAAGATCAGATACAGGTTGCATGTGAGCAAATAAATCAGATTTGGGTCACTTCAGGGTGCAGTGTAAACGTAGCCTATGAGGTCAATAGGAATGAGAAGATATGTCGCAGATACAGTATCTTCAGCTTTTTTTCTTTTTTAACAAAAAAACAAATCAGTGAGGTGATTTACTTTGCTTCTAATGTATGGAAATTAGGAGGTAAAAGTAGAAGGGATGCATAAGAAGAAGGGACATTTTTCAGGATATAAATAAATGCACTGCAGGAAGATTTTGTTAGACATCCACCTCAGCATCACATGCATCACGGTCCATTTTCAAAGTGGACAATTTTCATAATGGTAGTGTTCATCTCCCACAGAAAGCTCTTATGTTTCCAACATCTTGCTTTCAGGGTAAGGTGAACAATGTTTTATTCTCTCTATTTGCATCAAATCAGATTTCATCTCTACCTCACTCTCTCTCATTCGTCTCAGTAGGCCATTTCTAACATCTTTCTCTGCCTCTGAAGAAAACAGAAAATGTTTGCAAATACAAGCAATAAAGATTGGTTACATTTCCTTTCAACTATGTCGATTGCACTTTTTTCCCCGAAATGCTAAGTTATGAGTGGCAGCAAAGCAAGGTTGCTTATATCTTAGCAACTGATTAGATATTTTTAGATCTGCTTTACAGGAGCTGCATGTTCTTGCAAGTAAAAACCTTGGAGGAAAAAAAAAAGCACCAGAAACTCACTGGAGAGAATAAAAACTCAAAGAACGCATGGGTGGGCATGTTTGTGTTGCTGAGACATTCGGCTGCAACAGCAGCATTAAATCATTTCAAAAGAAAACACAACAAAACTAGCACACGTATCTTCAGGATATGGATTCTCCCATAATGATGCTGGCTTTATGCATTAAATGTATGCAAATGAAGTCTTTGAAGGGAACACATGTGCAGGATAATGATGCAAAACTTTTCTCTATGAAGTAAGAAAACTTCTAAGATCAGATCTTTTGGAGTTAGACAGAAAGATTAGTGCGGAGGAAGCCTGGATTTCTCTCACTTTCATGTTAGTTTTCTTCCAGAGCTGTTCTGGTACAAATAGAGATGAAAGCATATGATCCCAGAGAGTTTTCATTTTCACACTGTGCTGAGGGAGGAGAAACCGTCTGTTCCTTTTTGAAAGGCAAGTTTTCTATTACAAGGACACAGTCACTAGGATCCTACATTTGAGATAGGATAAAGGAGTATTGCTGCTGCAATAATAAGACAGCAGATGAAGGGGAATTAAGAGTACTTCCTGTTTCCACTGCATGTTGTTGGTCAATGATCTGTGCTAAACCTTCTATATACACTAGTGGAGAAACAGGAGAGCCTACGCCTCAGGTCAGAAAACCAAACTAGACTCAAATACAACAATGATTCCTACTCTTCTTGAGCCTGCAAGTCCGTTAGAAATTATAGCAGTTGTACCAAAGGATGCTGTCACATGAGGATAGCTCAGGAGACTCAATTTCACTTTATGGGGAATGAGGAAAAAATTAACACATTCCTTTGGTTTGATTCCCTTTTAAGCCACCAGTGCAACATTATGCACTTACCACAGCTAGCTTGTTTGTTCCTAGTATGAGCAGGGTCAAGTATGGCAACCCACGTTAGTGTTTAACCAAAAATATACTCATATCCCACGCATTAACAACTAAGACATACTTCTAACACAGGTTACTATATCAATGTGGTCTACCTACTTTGAAGCTGGATTCTGGATTTAGAATGAAAAAGTTATTCCCACAAATTGGATACTGTTTTCAGATATCCTTTTTAATAGAGGTAAATTACCGTGGCACACATAAGAAACCATCTGCTGTATATACACTGTTTAAAAGATAAATCAAACACTCAGATAACACATCCTACATCTACATGAATGGACTATTCTCATTAAAAACTTTCTTCTGTTCAAAATAAATATGCATCATCAAAGGAAATCAAATGTATTAACCAATGGAGGCCTGGATTTGAAGTCACACGTTTAATTAAAGTGGAAAAGCACACTACAGGCTGATCCAACTTTGATGTGATTTCCTCAAAACAGGTCAGAATGAGGCTCAGTATTGTGTGTGGCCTTCACATGCCTGTATGACCTCCCTAAAACACCTGGGCATGCACCTGATGAGGAAGCGGATGGTCTCCTGAGGGATTTCCTCCTAGACTAAAGCATCCACCAACTCCTGGACAGTCTGTGGCGCAATGTGACATTGGTGGACGGATTGAGACATAATGTCCCAGATGTGCTGGGACATCATGTCAGGTCTTTGGAATGGGTGGGCAATCCACAGCTTCAATGCCTTCATCTTGCAGGAACTGCTGATAAACTCCAGCCATATGAGGTCTAGCAATGAACTGCATTAGCAGGAACCCAGGACCAACCACACCAGCATAGGGACTGACAACAGATCTGCAGTTCTCATCTAATGGCAGTCATGCTACCTCACCACATAGAGGGCTGTGGGGCCCTCCAAAGAAGTGCCACCCCACACCATTACTGACCCACTGCCAAACCGGTCATGCTGAAGGATGTTGCAGGCAGCAGATTGCTCTCCATCGCGTCTCCAGACTCTGTCACATCTGTCAAATGTGCTCAGTGTAAATCTGCTTTCATCTGTGAAGAGAACAAGGCGCCAGTGGCGAATTTTCCAATCCTGGTTTTCCATGGCAAGTGCCAAGTGCCCAGCCCTGCGAGCACAACCCCCACTGGTGAACATCGGGCCCTCGTATGGAGTCCTTTTCTAACCATTTATGCCCACACATGCACCTTTGTGGCCTGCTGAAGGTCATTTTCCAGGGTCTGACAGTACTCCTCCTGTTCCTCCTTGAATAAAAGAGAAGGTAGCGGTCCTGCTGCTGTTTTGATGCCCTCATACGGCCTCCTCCACGTCTCCTGGAAGCAGGTTCAGCCTCTGGACACTATGCTGACAGACATAGCAAACCTTCCTGCCATTGATGTGTCATCCTGGATGAGCTGCACTACTTGAGCTCCTTATTTGTGTGGCACTGGCAAGAAAGCACTATCGAAAAAGCACCATCAACATTCAAAAGCGACCAAAACTTCAACCAGCAAGCACAGGTACTGAGAAGTGGTCTGTGGTCCCCACCTGCAGAACCATCACCACGGACTGCTGCTAAATCGTTCTCTATGAACAACCTTTGAATCGCTTTGGGGAGACAACAATTTTTGGAAAAGCTGCAAAAGCACAAAAAAAATAAAATAAAATAAAATCCACTTTGGTTCATCCAGAGTTGCATCTGGATGTCGGTTGGATTCGGCGGTGACAGGATGGAGTTAAGGGATGATGATTAATAGTCCTGTTAGGACTAAATTAAGTCCTCTTGAGAGCATTTAGTAATTCTACTTTTGTTAACATTATTTTCTCTGTATTCCATTTTAAGTGACAACACTTTGCCTACAACCAGTCCCTGATTGGCTGCTGGGTCGCCATTTCACTGAAAAGTTCAGCTTATTTCAACTTCAGCAATCTCTGCTCTGCTCTCTCCATGCAGTGCTGCTGTTTGGCAACACCTCAGTAGCACGAGGTGAGGGAGCAGCAGGAAACGACCCCTAACCTCGTGATGTTCACCACTGGCTGCTTCACCACCCTTCACCATGGGGTTTGTATAGGATTTCTATGTAAATCCACCACACTCGCTACGAACACCGGATCCAGTCTGAACGCACCATTCTTTAAAAGAAATTTTGTCATTTTTTATCCCTTATTTGTAAAAACAAAACATGGGATTATATAAAAAAGAATAATCCCATGTTTTGGTTTTACTTATTGAATACATCATGTGATGCTAACATACAGTCACATTAGGGAGTGACTGTATGTTAGCATCACATGATGTATTCAATAAGTAAAACCAAAACATGGGATTATTCTTTTTTCAAGCAAAAATTCAGGGTTAGGGCAGGAGGTTGAACTCATTCTCTTGAATTCAACAGCCTACATCACCTCTTTTCATACATACATGCATTGTTTTCATATAACTGGAATATATACTGGGTGTTATATAGAGTATATCAGGAGGGGAGAATTGAGCATAAAATCCACTGCATGAAGTAAGATAAGGCTGCAGCAAGCCATTCCTTTATTAAAATATTTTATCTGACAACAAAAGTATATTTTTTGCTGAATATTGT